ATGAGAGACGAAACGTTTCTAGATTTTTTTGCTTTGTTTTGTTTTTTGTTTTTTTGAATGTCCAGAGGACCAGATTGAACTTTTTTGGACTATTGCTATATTGTGCGCTAAGGTGCAACTTTAGGACTTTTAACATTAGAAATATTTAAGAGCACTCAAATAATGAGCTTAATTCTATTTATATTATGAACTTATATTACTAAAGTAAGCACGGTGGCACAACTGGTAGAGCTGCTGCCTCTCAGTGAGAATGTTGCTGGTTCAAATCCTGGTCCAGGGGTCTTTCTGGGTGGAGTTTGCATGTTCCCTCTGTGCATGTGTGGGTTTTCTCCGGGTACTCTGGTTTCCTCCCACAGACCAAAAACATGCATGTTAGGCTGATTGGTAACTCTAAATTGTCGCTAGGTGTGAATGAGAGAGTGAATGGTTGCTTGTCTCGTTTGTCTCTGTGTGGCCATGTGATGAACTTGCGACCTGTCCAGGGTGTACCCTGCCCCTCGCACAGTGATTGCTGGACATGGGAACTGGTGACCCCCTTGACCCAAAATGGAAGAAACGGGTAAAAGATAATTCAATTAAATTAAATTTTAAAATACTTTATTAATCCCAAAGGGAAATTAATTGTTGTTGTAACTCGTTATCCTCATTTCATTAAGAGATTTATAGATACTGATGGCTGTAGACAGGAAGGATCTCTTGTAAAGGTCCATCCCACAGTGGATCCCAAGAAACTGGTTGCAGATGCCGTCCGATCCGTCCACCCAGTTTCGGCTGGCATTTCGGTTCCCCCGGGCTGTAGGACTGCCCGAATGCCGGGGAGAACTCCTCCCAGAGCGATGGCCACTCCTCCCAGCAGCCTGCTGAGCTCCTCGTCGCTGCGGACAGCCAACTGTAGGTACAGAGGGACGATCCTGTCCTTCCGCTGTCATGGCCGTGTTTCCTGCTAGTTCCAGGATCTCAGTGGTAAGGCACTCGAGCACAGCTGGCAGGTAGATGAGAATGCATCCACTGAACATCCTTTCAACTCATTTGAGAGTTGGGGCTGTAGTTGAGATATTATTTGAGCTTTTGAGATGTTAATCAGCTGCTGTTGGTTGTAGAAACTGCCTTGTTGCCATGGTTACGCATCATAACAAATGTTCAAAACAAAAAAAAAGTTTCAGTAAAAATCCTTCCAGCTGCACAGCATCCGACAACAGAGGAAACAATCATCCAAAAAATGTGATTTACATCCAGAAAAAGAGGAATTAAAGTTTCCAAAAGCAAAATCTCAGAATGAAAGTAACAGAGCTGCTCCAACATGCAGCCACCTTGAGCAGTGCAATTCTAGAACATGGATGTATAGATTAATGGATGGATGGATTACTATAGTAATGATGATAAAACATGTACAGGTACATGTATTGCTTATATTTATGTTGTTTTTTTATATTGATAAAACCAAGGGTTATTGATTATTAGGTCTATTTCACACAGACCACGTTCCTGTTTCCAAATCTGTTGCTAAGCTGACCAGACTTGATGTCGAGCTAACCCTAGATTTGAATCAGGAGATAGAATGAATCCCCATAACTCCTTCCAGTGTGTTTTTAGCCTACAGCTACATTGTCATTCTGGACTGTATATACAGGTCCTTCTCAAAAAATTAGCATATTGTGATAAAGGTCATTATTTTCCATAATGTAATGATAAAAATGAAACTTTCATATATTTCAGATTCATTGCACACCAACTGAAATATTTCAGGTCTTTAATTGTTTTAATACTGATGATTATGGCATACAGCTCATGAAAACGCAAAATGCCTGTCCCAAAAAATTTGCATATCATGAAAAGGTTCTCTAAACAAGCTATTAACCTAACCATCTGAATCAACGACGTAACTCTAAACACCTGCAAAAGATTCCTGAGGCTTTTAAAAACTCCCAGCCTTGTTCATTACTCAAAACCGCAATCATGGGTAAGACTGCCTACCTGACTGCTGTCCAGAAGGCCATCATTGACACCCTCAAGCAAGAGGGTAAGACACAGAAAGAAATTGCTGAACGAATAGGCTGTTCCCAGAGTGCTGTATCAAGGCACCTCAGTGGGAAGTCTGTGGGAAGGGAAAAGTGTGGCAGAAAACGCTGCACAACGAGAAGAGGTGACCGGACCCTGAGGAGGATTGTGGAGAAGGGCCGATTCCAGACCTTGGGGGACCTGCGGAAGCAGTGAACTGAGTCTGGAGTAGAAACATCCAGAGCCACTGTGCACAGGCGTGTGCAGGAAATGGGCTACAGGTGCCGCATTTCCCAGGTCAAGCCACTTTTGAACAAGAGACTGCGTCAGAAGCATCTCGCCTGGGACTGCTGCTGAGTGGTCCAAAGTTATGTTCTCTGATTACAGTAAATTTTGCATTTCCTTTGGAAATCAAGGTCCCAGAGTCTGGAGGAAGAGAGGAGACACAGAATTCACATTGCTTGAGGTCCAGTGTCAAGTTTCCACAGTCACTGGGGTGCCATGTCAGCTGCTGGTGTTGGTCCACTGTGTTTTATCAAGCGCAGGGTCAATGCAGCTAGCTATCAGGAGATTTTGGAGCACTTCATGCTTCCATCTGCTGAAAAGCTTTATGGAGATGAAGATTTCATTTTTCAGCACGACCTGGCACCTGCTCACAGTGCCAAAACCACTGGTAAATGGTTTACTGACCATGGTATTACTGTGCTCAATTGGCCTGCCAACTCTCCTGACCTGAACCCCATAGAGAACCTGTGGGATATTGTGAAGAGAAAGTTGAGAGACGCAAGACCCAACACTCTGGATGAGCTTAAGGCCGCTATCGAAGCATCCTGGGCCTCCATAACACCTCAGCAGTGCCACAGGCTGATTGCCTCCATGCCACGCCGCATTGAAGCAGTCATTCATGCAAAAGGATTCCCGACCAAGTATTGAGTGCATAACTGAACATGATTATTTGAAGGTTGG